AGTTGCATTTTATCTTTCTTGAAATAATAAAGCACAATACACTGAAAATTTTGCGCATTTTCTTCCATTCAATTTTAAAATGGCTATACAAAAATTCGCCAGCTTTGGTAAGTTTTTAAATGCATGCTGACATGACAGCTGTCACAATACAATCTAACAAAATTGTTTTCAATGACATTAAAGACAACTAAGCACGGTTAGAGCCATCATTTGGGGGGAAAAAACGAACTTTCTGGCCAACCCAACATATAGTTGTATGTACTGTGTGTGTGTCTAAACTCAAACATAAAGGAAGCCCTGACAGCCAGACAAATGGAAGGCTGAGTGGTGAGCACAGACTGCACAGCTCCCGGGCCGCAGACCCACGGACGAAACAGGAACCTGGGAACTAGCGTCTGGCGTCCGTGCACGTGAGGCTGGGCACCTGCAGTGGAGCCCCTGGGCGCAGAGCCTGGATTTTGGAGGGCTGCAGAAGCGTGGCCTGCCGAGAGCCAAGCGTGTGTGGGATCCAGGCCTACACTCTCTGTCTAGAACAATGGCAGCCCTTGGGCTCCACAGACGCAGCCGAGAACGTGCTCTGAAGGGCATTTTTATCACCAGAACTCAGCGGCCTCGCCCAGAGGGGGAACCCACGAGGATGAGCTCACAATCTGAAATCACGAGCCACCAAGGAGTCAGGTCCGTGAGAGCCTTCGAGACACCGGAGAACTTGGACTGATGGAACCAAGCCCATAAAACTGACACCCAGGGCGCATCAGACCAACACAGCAGAAAACGCCTTTATCGCTCTTCTGTTTGAGAGAAGACGACAAGGTGATGATGACTCTTGTTGTGGCCAGCCCCAGAAATGACCACTGATGGCAGGTGATAACACAATCCAGTATTTATGATGAACCTCCAAACGCAAGCCGAGGGGCTGGGTCATGCTGAGTGCTGAAGGCGGCTGGGGTCTGGGAGTGTCCTCTGGGTTCACCTCTTCTTTCTTTCTCTTACTCACTCCTTGGGTCTTCACAATGGCTTCCACACCGCACACAGGACAAGGAGGCGATGCTTAGTGCCTGCTTGTCAGTGGAAGGGAGGAGGGAAGGCGAGGAGCTCTTTGCTTTGCCGGAAGACTGGCCCACCCTTTGGAAACTTTATCCTGCAGTGCATTCAGAGCCCCCACCCCCAAAAAAGTTATATGTGCCCTGCCCCGTGAGTGACATGGCCGCATCATTACCATATCTCAGAGTTTGGACATGGGAAGCAACCACTCACTTCCTCTAACCAGCACCCCTGGGTTCACACCCTGAGGTGTGCCCTAAATTGGACAAGTCTTTGCTTTACGTTTTTAATTATAAAGGATCCAGAAACACAAGTATGTTTTCATTACAGCCTGTGAGAACTAAGCCACAGGGACAGAGACCAGTGTGGATGGCGACGGACACAATGGGGCGAGGACTGGGTTTCCTAACCTGTGAGGAAGGACATGGTGTCCCCTCCCAGCTCCCGCTGGACCCTGGGGCTCCCATCTGAAGGACAGAGCCCTGCTGTCTGGCCCTTGACAGCCTCCCTGGCTCCTCGGGAGTCACCCCAGGGCACGAGCTCCAAGGCCAGGGAATGGGGGGCACTAAGTAAGAACTTCAGGGTAGTTAAGAGGATAAAGACCTGAATTTATGGATACACGTCCCTCGTGCCCACTGAAAGGCAAACCCCTGGAGGGCAGGTGCGAGTCTTATTGATCTGTAACCTCCTGGCCGAGTCTGTGACAGAGCATAGGCCTTCGCTAAATGCTTAGTAAATGAACAACTTGTGAATGGATGGATGAATGAATGGATAGATAGGTGGCTGGATACATGGATGGGTACATGGGTGGATGGATGGATGGACAGATAGAAACGTTATACATTAGGGTTTGGGAGAGCATCCTTAATTGGGTGGAATGGCACTTGATGACTTCTAAGAGTCCCACCCACCTCCAGGATTCTGCTTCACTGTGCTTGTCCCACATCCATGCATTTTCCCATGTCATACCCTCTGCAGGACAGGCCGTCTCCCCCTCCTGTCCTCGTCTCCCAAGTGACTCTTGACTCTCCTTTCACGGAGCAGCAAGCTCCCTAATCACCCCTCTCCCCGGCAGATCAGCTGCTCCAGGCCCCGGGATCCTCTCGCTGCCCACACCGCCCCCTCCTGTGGTCTGTTCTCCTTCGTGCGCTGCTCCTACTGAACAAGGGGCTCTGTGAGAGCAAAGACCGGGCCCAAGACGCGCCTGTGCGCCCGGGCCCAACACCCAGCTCAGCCTTCACTTTGGGAATTAAACAAGCCTCTGAGCTCAGCCTGTTTCGACATCTTTGGAGCACCCTAAATGGTCTGCAGCTAGAATCCCATTAAATTGTTTTGAAGGTTATGCCGTGCGGGCAATTAACAACTCAAGACTTCACCTGCACGCAGGAATTTTCATTCTCCCCGGTTTGAAAGTTACATGAGTTTCATTACACATTTCATCACATTAACATTTAAAAAGTTCTCCTCATCTGGTTTTATCTCCTAAGCAGAAGGGGATATTTTCTAGCTTTAATTGCTGAACTTCCAGCTCAGGAGTGGGGAAGGCAACAGCCACCTCTGCTGGCCCCCCACCAGGACTGGGGGTGTCTGGAAAAGGCGGGCGCCCTGTGACTCTTGAGGAGGCTGAAGACTTTGAGTTACAACCAGCAACAACATGGGGGTGTTTGTTCAAGAACCTATTCTCACCCCGGTTTTTGTAATCCAAATAGGGACATTGCTGATGTTAACACTCCCATCCAGTTTCATCATTTGTTCCCACGTGGCAGATGCGCTCACCGAGCCCAGTGACCTGAAGGAGGATCGAGTCCTTTCCAATCACCTCCCTGTCCATTACACAAACGGGGAAACTGAGGCCCAGCAAGGGGAAGGACTGACCTGAAGTCACAGAGCTACGGAACTGAACCGAGCCTCTCCTTGGCCCTGCCGGTGACCCCCAAGTTTGGCCTTCTTCAAAGGACAGGGGAAAGGGACAGGCTCTAAGTGTAAATGACAGGCACTCACTAGCGTTTACACACTCGTCCCAAGCAACTGGAGACCTCAGTCTAGTCTACGGCCATACCACCCTGAACGCGCCCGATCTCATCTGATCTCGGAAGCTAAGCAGGGTCGGGCCTGGTTAGTACTTGGATGGGAGAAACCTGAGTCTAGGTGTTTGTTCCCCAACCCGAAGACACAGTCTTCCCCAAACGAGCGCACCGCTGTGCATTCAGATCAGAACACAACAGGGCAGTCGACAGCCACACCACCCTGAACGCGCCCAATCTCGTCTGATCTCGGAGGCTAAGCAGGGCCGGGCCTGGTTACTGCTTAGATGGGAGAAGACAACAGGTTCTTCAGTTCTGCTATTTGCCCCGTTTTCTGGGCTGGGAAAGGCACAGACACAGCATTTTAAAGCCAGCTAGGGAAAGACTTGGAGATCAGGACCTGCGGAGGAGAAGAAGAGAATTCCTGGCTGGGAGCTCCTGCTCCGGGACAGGGCAGGTCTTTCCTGAATGGCACCAACTCCATTGGGGGTGCTGGGGTTCAAATCCCACCTCCTTTCCTCCAGTGGTTGGATATGGTCTTGGGAGAGCAGGGTGAAGACAGAACAAAAGGGGGACATCATCTCTGTGGGCAGAACCCACAAAACACCTTAGCAAGCAGGGTGTGGTGTTTTTGTGTTTTGCCAGGTCTCCTCACCAAGGTTCTCGGGCTGCCTAGTTCGGTGTGTACTTCGTGGCTGGTGCCCTGTGAATGTGCAGAAACTGACTTGAGGGAAATGTGCTCTGTGCTTTATGAGCAGGAAACACGAGAGGAGGGGTCAGGACCCCAGGGGTCTTTGATCGCTTCGCGCTCAGCGGTGGGCTCACTCACACCCAGGGAGGAAATCTAAGGTACCTGCGTGGCTGATACCCGACAGCACACGGCCGGTTCCGTCTCCATCCCGTCTGCGGCTCCGGTCCCAGGACTGGGAGAAACCGAGTTTGAGCCTATTTCCTTCTGGAAGACCTTTCTTCCTCCTCTGAATAAGTGACATTATCCCCAAAGGAAGTTTCCTCAAATCTGTTGACATCCACAAGGGCGATCTTCAAGCAGGGGGCAGCAAGACATTTTAAAACATGCAATACCCGACCATTTAGTCAGGGGCACTGACCTCTTTTCCCTTAGACTGTCGACACAATAGCTGTCCTGAGTGAGTGAATCGAAATTGTACTTATTTTTTGGTCAGATCAGTAAAAATGTATTTTTGCTGTGCCACCCAATTTTAGTGATCACCATCTTTACGTGTGTCGTGCGATGAAAAGTGTTGAAAACCGCTGACCTCAAACACAGGGCGGGAAAGCAGTCTTCCTATGTGATCTGTGACCTCTCATGGTGCCTGGAGGTGCTGTCTGGCCCAGCACCCAGGCTCTGCACGCCAGAGACCCAAGGGGACCTGTTTCGGGGCGCAGAGCCACGCTGGGCCTCTGCCTCCTCCCTTCCCACCTGCCCCTGGATGCCTCGCCCAGGGCTCTCACTGGGTGTTTGGGCAACGTGAGCCCGAGACTTGACCTGAGACTTGTCCATCTCGGTGTTTTCTTCTGAACCACTTGTTTGCAAGCCTGGCTGTGCACGGGAACCACCTGGACCACTTTCACAGTCCCTGATGCCTGGGTCCCAGCTCCAGAGGTCCCGATGGAAACTGGGCTGGGGTGAGGCCTGGGCACTGAGGTTCTCCAGAGCTCCCAGCTGATTCCAGTGTCCAGCCAGGACCGAGGACCTCCACTCTAAATCGCGCTGGCTGACGGGAGTAAATAAAGAAATCTGTCCCACGCTCATGCCATTATTTCCTGTCCCCCCAGATACAAGCAGGAGGGCTTGGGTCAGGAGGAAAATGGAGAAAGACCTCCAAGTCGCCCTCAGAAATAAGCTGTCCCTCCCCCACCCTTAAAAGACACAGAAAAGGACAAGGTTTGGAGATCAAGTTAAATGTCCAATTTATTTTTTATAACTTGAAACCAGAACAAACTTGGTTTTGAACAAGCGTACAAATGAAATGGCAGACACATGCTGAACTCAACATCGTGACATTAAGGGGAAAAAGAGGCCCAGAATCTGGTACACAGAATAAAAGGAACAATAAATATTTTACTAAGCCATATTGAAATGACCTCCCGTCATCTCAACATTTTATCCACAATTTAAAAAAAAAAAAGTGCCCGTTTTCTCAACGGAGCACAAGTACCAAGCAATAATAAATAGTTCCAAACTTGTAGTAAAAGACAGAACCTCCAGGTAAACAACAAAAGCTCATACAATAAGGAATAGAAAAGGTAATAAAAATGTTTGGCCTGGCCAACACAACTGAAAGCAACGGAACTCTGCCTTGCAGCGCTGAGATCCGAGAGCACCGAGTCACGGGGCTGCCTGTGTTCGACGCGACCTCCACTGGCTGGCCCTTGGGACCGGGGTAAAAGGCTGATTCCCTTGACTTTTCACATTTTCCTTACAGCTCAGCCTCCTCCTCTCCCCCACGAAAGACCCTCCCTCTCATGGCAAGTGGCAGGTTCCAACGGGAGGGGCGGGGGGGCAACTTGGAACAGAGTTGTGGCAGTGTAGACACCAGGCTGGGGCCTCTCCCAGCGGGTCATCTGCTGGAGTGTTGGCTTTTTACACGAGAAAGAGAAGCAAAATGCTCTTTCCTCTGCCGTCGGTGGACGGAGACACAATCTTTGTGCTTTAGGATGGCTTAGTCCTGGCATTCGGGTGACTTGGTGTGAGCAGGGAAGAGCTGGCTGCGTTTACTGCAGAAGGGTCACCTTGGAGGCCCTTGGGGCACCTTACCAGGGTGACCCATGGGTCTTGGGGTCAAGCAGGCAGGAAGCTGACATCTTAGCTTCATCTCCTGCCCCCTCCCCCTTCTTCTCACTTTAGCAAAAGTTAGTGGCCGGGAGGAAAGAGCCAATGACACAGAGAAGGCCCCAGAGGAGAGATTCTGCATTTGGTCAAGAATTGCCCAAAAGGATGCTTGGTTAGACTTCCATCACCTGAAATAATGATTTCTTACAGTTCCTGAAATTAAAAAATGGCTTCCTGATATAGGTATTTTTTAATGTATTATTCCCTCATCGAAAAAACTACCACTTTATAATCTTAAAGCTACTTGGCTTCACAAAAAAAAAAAAAAAAAAGTAGGGAAGGGACAGGGAGGGGAGAAAGGAAATAAATTAAATGAAAATGAAAGGAACAGATGTAGGAGCGACAGAGGCTGGAGGATGGAGAGGAAACACGAGGAAAGAGAGAGGCGGCAAGGCACGGAATTCACCCCAGGGCCCAGGCGTTCGGAAACAGACGGAACGCAGGTTTGGGAGAGGAAAGCTGCAGAGCAGGTAAGAAAGACAACAGGCCAAGGCTCTCCGTGGAATGAAAGAGCTCGGTTGCGAGGGGACGCCCTCCCACAATCCAGTTTGCGCTGGGGTCAGCAGCAGATTGCGCTGTCTGTGCCTAGCTAATAGGCCAGCTCCTTTTGTTACATTCTTTGTTTGTTTAATGTCTTGTCAAGGGCTCAAGAAAGCTCGGTTTGCATTTCTTTCTGCTCTTAAGGGCAGGAGAGGTGGTGGTGGTGGTGGTGGTGGTGGTGGCTACGGCCACCACAGGGACGGTGAAGAGAGATGCCCACTGACTCGCTCTGCAGCTGACTTCTTACAGATGGCCTGTGAGAGCACTGGGGGCTCTGTGAGATGTTACCGACACCTTTACAAAACTGACATTTCCGCTCGTCACAAATCAGGGCTTTCCCATCCGGGCTGCCGCGGCCACCCCAGGGAGCCCTGGTGCAAGGTTCAGCTGCGTGCAGGGGGAAGCCCGGCTCCCACATTCCTTTGCACGGGCCAATTCCATCAAAAATATGTACAACTAAAATGACTTGTGAACCAAAGCATTTCACTGCTTCCCTTCTGTCTCTCCCTCAAAGGCTGTCAAACAACCCTTTTCCTCCTGTACAATAGGACTCAACATACAAATTGTTTTTGCAATATTTTATCCTGCCAAATTAAAAAAATATATTATGGCAGCCTGTTTGTTTTTGTTTTTTTTCTTTTTATTTCCAAATTCACTAACAAAAAGGTACATTAAATCCCTTTAAAAGGACAAGCTTACAGTTAAAAAATTACAAGCTCCAGTAAAAATACAGCAAGTGCCTACATCATATGAACCAACCAATATATCCATTCCAGAGGGCGGTGGGGCGAGAAAAATAAGTACAGGTCAGAAATGTGATTTTTTTTTCTGCAAAGCAATAACAATATTAAGCACTTTTTTCTACATACTTTTTCTACATGGTGTAGCAATCCCCTTTTAATCCCCAAATACAAGTTTCTATACATTTTTTTGAAATAAAAATTCAACACCCAAGGCAGAAAAAAATTTCCTAAAACTCCGACTTTACAGTTACTGTGACAAGAACAAATTTATAGACCCACCATTTAAATTTTACTGCAACATTTTCAAGGAAAAGGAAAAAGGTTTTTTTTTTCTTGTTTTGTAAAATGCCCAGGCATTCTCGATTATTACAAATACTGGTCCACTTTTACAGTAATCAAGAAATTTTAATATATATAATATATACTAAAACCCCGTCACCAAAAGAAAACAATATACACGCAGCCACTGTGGCGTTTTTTTTAATAACCTATTAAGCAAACTTTGAAAAAAAAAGATCTCTCCAACACACATACACACAATTTTTTTTTACCCTTGTATGTATCCAATACTGTAAACGTATTTTTAAGACAGAGTGCACTAAATTTAACTTTAGGAAAAAAAATGAGCCATTGTTCCTGAATTTTTTTGTTGTTGTTGTTTTGTTTTTCATTCAACGATATCAACTTGTAACTCATGTCACTGGAGTTTTAATTCAGCAGTAAATCACCTCCACTCCACCTCTGAGCAGCACAGTCCCACAAACAGAACGGGGCTGAGGATCGTGCAGCTATAGCAATGGATGTCCAAGGTTGTGCTGGGTTTGTCTCTTCGCGTGATTGGGTCTTATGGCATTTTCATGTCCTCTATCTTCAACCAGGAATTTTAAAATTTACTTAAAGTAAATGTGGCTTTGTTTGTGTCTAAAGAATGTACTTTTCTTGTTTTACTTTTTAAAAAAGTCTTTTCATTTCAAAAAAAAAAAAGGTTTGCATTTGTCTCAAGAGACTGAAATAGGAAGATCAGTTTTCAAGGCACTCACATCAGATCGATTGGCAGTAGAAAAACTGTCCAATGAGTTACTGTTTTATCTTGCTCTTTATAGTGCCAGTATTGTGGATGCTTAGCAACACTGACACTCAGTCTCAGCGTCCCTTACAGTTTAACCCACCTCTGGGCCAAAGAGAAGAATATGTTGCAATTTCTTGTTTAGAAGCCATTTCATTTAAATGCAAACAAAAGCTTTAAAGTGCGGGTCAACAGAATTCAAATGTCTAATCTCAACAGTCCGATGTTTAGTACCTCCCAACTGAATGGGATAGAAGAAAAAAAAATCGGGAAGTAGCTCTGGTACCTTCGGATGGAACTTCCCCTGCCCTTCCAGTCAAAGGGAGCAGAAATTCGAAAGACTTCCCCCCCTGCCTCTACAATGTCATCAGTGTGCATGAAATGAGAGCTCTCACTTCCCTCAATTCACCATCAGGGCACTTGTCTGCTTGAGAAATGATCAACCAATTATCACATGTAGCAACGTAAGTCGTGGGATTTTCATGGTGGGGGAGAGGTAGAGGGAGGGGGAGAGAGGGAGAGAGAGAGAGAGAGAAGCTGTCAAGCCAGAAGAAGCCCGAAAGAACACGTCTGGTTTCTTCCTTTCTGTATCACTGAAGGCCACCTCCATCTACCCCGCCAAAGGTACCCTCAGCCCATTTTATTTAGCCTGTTCTACAGCAAAGCAGCCAAGATGGCATCCCGGGGCGCACCCGCATTTCAAGAAGGGGAGAGTATGGGCTGGTAATGCACAATCTTAGAATCCTCTGGGCCATTTCCACGAGGAGCCCTCAAAAACTCTTATTTTATTGGCAGTGCGGAGTTTCTGGGCCCCTCCCCTGCCACTCCGAGTTCCCCTCCTGCCGTTCATGGGAAGGCTGAAGTCACACAGAGAAGGCCTCTGTCACTCAGGACATCGTCAGTGCTACATCCCCACTCCGGTTCCGAAACAAAGTGCTACAACTTTAAAGATTGTTATCCGCTGTACATCGCCCCCCCCAAAAAAAATGCATGCCACGTTTTATCTCAGGACAAAAAAAAAAGGAATAAAAAGGTAAACAACTTTAAAAGTCATTTAAGTGTTGGCTTCTTCACAAGAAATTACACATGCTTAGCTTAGATTTCAAAAAAGCAGCGCCCTCCCCCCAAAATTATAATTTAAAAGATATGCTTCCCCTCTACATTGCTTGCGAGTCATTGCTCAGGCGACTACAGGGTTAAAAAAAATGAAGAAGGGATGGATACCCAACAGAATCTTTTAAAGGAATTTCAACAGAAAGAAGAAGAATAAAAAGTACCTGCACATGCCAAAAAAATTACAAAACCCAATAAATACAGAAATTATTGCACAGTTAAAAGGCTCCACCTTTCTGACTGCCTTTAACAACCGACCTCGCAGACACAGGTTAGGTTGGAGGGCCGCCTCCCCCTGAGCCCCGGGGACACGCGGGGCGCTCAGTGGCGGGGACACGGAGGCAAGTGTCAGGTCAGCATTCTGTCGCTTGGCAACGGTTCCACTGTACAAGTGCGGGGCGCCCACCGCGCGTGCGCTTAGCTCCTTTCGGCCTGCTCGATTTTGACGTCGTTAGTCAGCAAGTGCTCGCCGTGCCACTTTTTCATGTGTTTCTCCAGGGTGCTGTAGACGCTGAAGGGCATCTGGCAGATGTCGCAGCGGTACACCTCCTTGCCGATCTGCCCGTGCGTCTTCATGTGGCGCGTGAGCTTGCTGCTCTGCGCACACGCGTAGTTGCACAGCTCGCACTTGTAAGGCCGCTCGCCGGTGTGGCTCCGCCGGTGCACCGTCAGGTTGCTGCAGTTCTTGAACACCTTGCCGCAGTACTCGCACGTGTCGCTGCGGCGGCCCTCCTTGGAGCTCGGCCGCCCGGGGCCCGGGCCGCCCAGGTGCGGCGTGCTGCCGCCGCTGGCCGTGCCGCTGCGGCCCGAAAGGCCGCCGTCCAGCAGGTCCCCGGGCGGCGTGGAGAAGCGCAGGCTGCCGTTCTCGGACGAGTGCTCGGACGACGTGGCGAAGGGCGACTGGCGCGCATCCGTGAAGCCCAGGAAGGGGTCCTTCATGAAGTGCCGCGACGCCGCGTAGCCCACCAGCCACTGTGAGTACACGTTCTCCGACGGGATGAGCGCGGCGGGCGGCAGCTCCAGGTCCTTCTCCACTTTGATGCGCTTGGCCGCGCTGTTGAGCCCGGGGCTGGGCAGCGGCGCCGGCTTGCGCGGGAAGAGGCCCGGGAAGGGCTCGGCGCCTGGCGCGAAGCCCCTGCCGCGCCCGTTGACCGCGCCGCCCGGGCCCGCGTCACCACAGCCTCCCGCGTCGTCGTCGTCACCCGTGTCGCCTGCTGCACGCTTCAGGAAGGCGCCGCGCTTCTGCTTGTCGGCCAGCAGGTCGCTGTACTGCGGCAACGCGCCCAGGCCCACGTTCTCCATGACCTTACCCAGCACCAGTGCCTTCTCGTCGGCCAGAGCCTTGGCCGCGCCACCCACTCCGGCCGCGCCTGGAACCCCGGCCACCCCAGCGCCACCGTTCTCCCGATTGCGGCTCAGCTCCGAGTCCATGCTGAAGCTGGACTCCGGCCGGCTCTCGTTCTCCAGCAGCAGCTCCTCCTCTTCCTCCTCCTCCTCCTCGTCCTCCTCCTCAGGCTCGTGGCCCAGCGAAGGGTCGCTCTCGTGGTGGCGGAAGTCGCCGCCCGCCTTGAGCCCCTCGCCGGCCAGCTCGCTGGTGCCGGGCTCCGGGGAGCTGGCGGCCGAGAGGCCGTCGTCGGAGCGGCCGGTCAGCGAGCCGGCCTTGTGCATGTGCGTCTTCATGTGGCGCTTGAGCTTGCTCGCCTGCGAGCACGCGTGGTCACACAGCTGGCACTTGTAGGGCTTCTCGCCCGTGTGGCTGCGCCGGTGCACAATGAGATTGCTCTGGAACTTGAAGGTCTTGCCGCAGAACTCGCACGACTTGCTTTTGGCTGGAGGCTGGGGCGGCGGCGTGCCGCCCGGGGGCATGGGCGGCAGTGGCGGCGTGCTCAGGAACGGGGACTTCGGGCTGGGCTGGAAGGGGTTTAGGAGCCGGTGCATAGGGTTACTGCGGCCTGGCGACACGGGTGGCGGTGTGGAGCTGTTGCCCGCCAGCTCGCGGAGCCGCCTTGAGAAGTCCATGGCGGGCGAGTCGATGGCCATGGGGTTCAGGCGCATGACTCGGTCAAAGGCACTGGGGTGCTGGGCAACGAGCCCCATCTCCTCGGCACTGAGGCGGTGCGGGTCCAGGTGGTGGCGCGGCGGCGGGCTGAAGAGGGGCGGCGTGCCGGGCAGGCGGCCCTCCCCGAAGCCCGGGTGGTCCCGAAGGATGGGGCCCGTCATGCGCAGCAGGTTGAAAGGGTTGCTGTCGCCCAGGAAATTCATGAGCGGGGACTGGGCCACGGCCTCTGGCCCCAGTGGCGGCGGGATGGTGAGCCGCGGCGTGAGGGAGCTGCTGGCCGGCCCGGGCTCCAGGTAGATACGGAAGCCATGCGTGTTCTGCGCGTGCTGCAGCAGGAACCACGCGCTGTTGAAGGGCTGCTTGCATGTTGTGCAAATGTAGCTGGAAGGCTCATCTTTACCTGGGGAGACACACAGACAGAAAGGCAGAGAAGAGAGCGTGAGATGCAGCCTGGGGCATGTGTACTGCAGGACCACTGACCCGAAAGCATGCATCTGCAAGTCCCGGGCCTGTGTGCCGAGTGCCAGACCCTCCGGCCACGCCGTGCATGCTCCAGCTGCTACGTGGACAGGAGGCCCTGCCTGGCAAAGCCCAGACCTGCCACAGGACCTCAGCTGGGCCCTTTAATGCCGCAGACCCTGGTTTGTCCCCCCAAAAGAAAAGGTGTCCTTATTCCCATTACCTCCGAAGCCAGATGAGATGTGCTTGTGAGAACATCTGGTTCCAGTAACAGGAGTGATGTCCAGCTTGGACTGTGTAAGGGAGGGTCCAGGCCACACGTGGCAACGCCGGGGCCGTGGTGTCAACCCAGCATGACTGACACTCAGACCCCAGTAATTCCTTGTCATGGAGCTGCCCTGTGCATGCTAGGATGTTCCGCAGCATCCCTGGCCTCTGCCCACTAGAAGCCAGTAGCACCCCTCACCCCCAGTCAGTAGGATCAAATCTCTCCAGGCGTTACCAAATGTCCCCTGGGAGGCAATCCTGGATCCACCACCCCCCTCCCCCGAGTTTGTGCACCACCAATGATAAGATAATATTCGATCCCAGGAAGTTCTAAAAACGCAGGTCAAACTGAACCGCCTTGCAAACACTGTTTAAAGAGAAATGACTGATACTCCTGCATCGTTTGGGATTTTAGCTCCAGGAGGTTCTAGAGGTCCGAGCACCGGCACTGGTGCAGAAAGCACTGTCCAAGTTAAACATGGATGTGTGGGGACAGGAGGGAGCGAGCGTGTTATGAAGATGGCTGCTGTGTGACAGCTGCCTGCCCTGCCATGGCCTCACACGCAGCCTCCTGCACCCTAACCACTGTGGGGGGTCCAGCCTCCGCAGACCCCCCAGGAGGGGGCGAGTGGGGGCCTCCGGCCTACATGAAGTCCTTCACCAGAATGTTAACTGAATGAAAGAAAGATCCAGTCTGACAGGGCATCAGGATGAATGGCTCTGGTGACATTGGGAGCCAGCCACCGCGGACACAGAGCGCACAGAGTCAAAGGGCAAGGTCCCATCCGTCGCTGGAGCGATGATAAGATGGAGTCCACACGTGTCCTCCAGAATCCATCTCAAGGCTGCCCTCCTCCTGTCTGATGCTTCGCATACACGGGACGGGCGCGGGCAGACCCTGCCCGCTGCCCTCGGATGTACTCTCGGGCCGGGAAGGAGCAGGGAACAAGACACCGCAGTCCCGGTCTTGAAGAACCCCTCTGGTTTCGTCCAGCCCCCCTGCACCGAGGAGATTTCAACACGGATGGCGTGCAGCAGCCACAGACTCCCCGGTGACCGGGACCAATGCTGGTTCCTGGGTGCAGGGGGCTGAGCCCAGAGGACACCCCTCATCTCGCCTCTCCCCATGCATTTGAGGACTTGTGAAACGCCATGCAGAGGTTTATTTCTTGTTTTCAACCCATGAACTGTATTTCGGGGGGGCTGCGCCCTTAGCAATGAAAACCAAGTGACTCGGGGACCATGTGCCATGAATTCCATACTGGTCGGTTAGGCCTGACGACTCCCAAGGGGCCAGGGCCTCCCCCACCATGTGATTCGAGCAATGTCCCAGGGAAGCACAGTGCGTCCGGGCGGCAGGGCATCAGCTCTCCTGGAACAAGAACCACCAGGGCCAGCACACCGCGTCTGGACACCAAGGGCAGGCCTTACATGTTTGCTGTCCTACAGGATCATTTGACCGCCATCTCCTCTGTTGTGTCTGTGTGTGTGGTGCTGAGGAGACCACTGGGCAGGGAGGACAGAAAGGGAAAAAGAGCTCCGAGGTTCAGCCTGGCCCCACTTTTAAAAACGGCTCAAGGAGAACTTGTGAGTGACACTGTTTTCTTTCTCCAGGACACCTGGGTAGTTTCCTTCTCCCAGTATGTCTGGGTAATTCAGTTCCTCACCCTGGGGCCCAAGGAGAATCTGACCCACCTGGAAAGCACTGGGGCGGGGCCAGAGGGCAGGGGGCAGTGTTCCCAAGTCTCTGGGCAGCCTGAGTTTCACCCGCAGCCCAGCCGGCCGCCAGCCCTCTGCATACCACTCAGCAGCAGAGAAAGTGCCGCACCACCTCCTGGCCTCAGCCTATTAGCAGCTGTGCGTGGGGACCAGAGCCCTGCATCTCTGACAGTCTCACAGGACAGCTGGCCAGAAGCCACAGTTCGAGTTACCCTCAAACCCGCTTCCCCAGTGAGGCAGGAAAAATAAGTAATAAATAAGAAGCAGGTAAATAAAAGTCCCTTTCTGACACAGAAGCCAGTAAGGCAAATGAAGTGCCACCCACAAGGTCATGGATCTTCAAGCTGAAGGATGCTTCTCTGCCCTTCACCTCGGCCCCACGCAGCGAGTTACGGCACACAGCTGCCCTGGGGCCCCGTGCCTCTCAGGAGGACCCCCCTCCCCCAACCCAGTCTCTCTTTCCGCCCTCTCCATTTCCTTGGGTATCTTCAGAGCGCTTCCTGTTTCTTGTTCTGCTGGCCACACATTTTCTAGAAAGTTCTACAGCTGGTGAGGAATGTGGCTAGCAAGAGAAAATTCAGAACTCCCAGGCAGGTCAGGAACGAAGGTTGCACTACCGCCGAAATGGCCGATGAAAACATTTTTAAAAAATAAACTCAAAATGGCAGCTGCTGGGAAACGTGCAGCTACACGCTCCGAACTGCTCGGGTGTGCACACTTTTTGTTTTAAAAAAAAAAAGAGGGAAGACACTCAGAACTCTCCAACAGGGAGCAGCCTGGGGAGGAAGTTACCTGCCTGTAATTCACCCTCAGGTGTCTCCGTCAAATCGGATTTCAGGGCCACTTGCCGTGCCGGGGAGAGCTCTTTCTTTTCCTGCACCCCGAAACTGCCCAGGTCCCCAGGCTCCCCTCCTTGCAATGGTGACAATCTCTGCAGGTGCCGGCCATCCCAGGCTCTGACAGCTTCCGATTTTTAAAAACCCTCCCAGCCCTCCAAGGCCCTCTCAAGGCAACTCCCTTTGCACTCGGCCTCCCTTCTTTTTTTAATGCAAGGCTCATTCCCACGCCACCACGTCACGGTTCTCTAGAAGTGGCCTTGAGCACCGGGGCTGCTCCCTTTTAAGAAGTGAGCAACGTCAGAAAGTCTCTGAGAGCCCCTGGGAACGTGGTTCCATCCAGACACTCGCTCACTATTTCAGACTCATGGCACACACCGTCACGGACGGCCCACTTGTACATGCAGCCGAAGACCCTGGGTCCCAGGGCTGCCCCCGCTCCTTCCCGAGACCAGAGGTCTCCTCGCTGCCACCCTGTGCCACATACAGCTCAGGCCCACCCACCCAGGTGAAGAGGGGTCTCCATGAGGTGAGGTCATCACCGGTGGCCCCAGACAAAATGCTAAAGTTGCAACCTGTTGGGTCAATTGTTAGGAAGCGATTTTCCTATGTGAAACTCGGCCGATGGACCTAAAAATGTCAGCTGCAGTGGAAGCACTTGATCGGGCTCAGATGGAGTGGCTCCAAGCCAGGGCCCGCCTCTCTCCTCCCTTCCTTCCTCCCTTCCTCGGACATTGTTAATGGCAGTTGGCAGAAGCTGTGATAGGTCTTCTTGGCTGCAGGGGCATCCGACCTTTTGGCGCCTCTGGGCCACAGCAGAAGAGGAAGAGTTGTCTTGGGCTACACATTAAATACATTGCCACGCGTCATCCCACAAACATCTGATTGTGTTTTCAGCAAACTCAGGAGTTTGGGTTGGCGGCTTGCACGGCCACCCTGAGCTGCACGCAGCCCTCAGGCCACAGGTTGGACTCCCCTGCCCTCCGGGCTCTAAAGGGGGCCCGCTGTGTTTCTGTCAAGTTCAAAACCCTCTCTGCAGTCTCCCGGGGGTGAAATGGCAGTGTGGGTTCACACCTCCCCATACCCAGCAGAGTGACGTCCACCAAGCCCTTACGCTCTCTGAGCCCGGATTTCCTCATCAGTAGAACGGGAACAACAGACTCGAGGGACCAGGTGCGACCCTGAGTGTGGATGCCCCGGACCAAGGGGCACGTCATCCCTACGCAGACGTTACAGTTCGGGCTCTGCGTGATTTGTTTTTCATGACCCAGCTCACACCGAGCACTGCTCCTGGGGTGTCTTTCTGTGCGGCTCTGGAGGTAAGAAAACCCCGGAGGGACTCTAACGCAGCCCACCTAACGCGTCGGAGGCTCCAGGAAAGCAGACACTTGCAAATGTCGAGGAAACATCACTTTTTACTGTGCCGCCTGGAAGCAGACGGTGACTGGAGTCCTACGATGAGATGCTGCCCGGCCTCTGCTGTGACGCTGGTTGTTTTTTTAAATGAGCGTTTACATAATCCCCTCCTCATTATGCCGGTAACTCTAATAATACCAGTAAAGGTACCGGGGATGTCCAGTGAAAAGCACACCCTTCCCTGAGTTAGCATTACTCCATCCGAAGGCTATCACGGAGAGTACCAGTTTAACGGGCCTGCTCCTCAGGGCGAGGGACACGGTGGACGGGCGTCCTGCTGCGGGGGACAGCGGCTCCCCTCTGCTCAAAGGGAGCACGGAGCCCCCACCTCCAGCTCAAGCAGAGCGGGGGGCGTAGGCTGCCACTGTCCTCCAAAGGCCAAAGGTGAAAGCAAGGATCCTGCCTCTGGGCCGTGGGTGCTGGGCCGTGGGTGCTGGGCCTTGGCCCCAGCTGGGTGCTTCACAGTGGGTTTGGCACTGCCTTGTGCACTGGCCACGGCCAGCCGCTCCCAGGCCTCTGGGGGAGGCCAGGCAAGGACTGCGTTCCTGGTGACCAAGCTCAGAGTCCCCCGGCCAGCAAGGGTAGGGCCTCACCCCTCCTCAGGCTCCGGACCCCAGGCTCCATCGGCCACCCACCAGCACACAGCCCCACCCAGGATGGGTCACTCCCTCGACGCTTGTCTGGGCCTGTTTTGCAATGAAAA